TTCACTGTTTTGTACATAAATTAGGCCTTTAGTTTTCTTCTTTGGCTTGCTTTATATTTGTCATTTCGGGGCCTTTTATAGCTGACTATGCGGTATGGGTTTTGCTCATTGTTGAAACGTTGCATAATGTAGGTTGACTGTTAATTTTAGTGTTTAATGTCAGTTTAAATAAATGTTATGGAGTTGTATTAGCATTTCTTGTTTCCACAGAGGTTGTTTGACATTGCAACTTCAGTCAAGTTTTACTCTAAATTTGAATGTTTTTCAAGTTTTACAAGAACTTAAAGTGTGTGTGCACATAACGGCAGACAGGTTGATTCCTATTTGAGATAACTAAGTTGAACACATGTGTTATAGTAATATCAGCTCAAATATAACCCCAAACTGTGTATACAGAGATAAATAGACAGTATAAATTCTTAAAAGAGGAATAAACCAAATTGTCAGAGTGGTATGTTTCCGATATCTACATGTAAGTCAAACAATTCTTCTTGTATTCACATGTTATAGTTTAAGTAAAGATATTTCTTGCATTAATCAAAATTCTAATAATGGTCAAATATTCAATAGCCATTATAAAACACAATTTGCACAAACAAACTAGAGAGTGATAAATGCAAAAATCTTATTCAATAGATTTGAGTTATTAAAAGGTTTTCCGACTGAAAAACCCCGATATAAATTTGGGGAAGGACAAGAAATTGATGGATGGTCAGAAATGTTTTTATGTAATAACTTGGAGAATAAACCAACCAATGTTTTTCAAGTTTTAAAAGAACTTAACGTTTGTGTGTACATAACGGCAGACAGGTTACTCTAATATAACCCCAAACTGTGTATACAGAGAAAAATAGAAAGTGTAAATACTCAAAAGAGAAATGAACCAAATTGTCAGAGTGGTATGTTTCCGATATCAAACGGATAAATTTAGGGAAGGACAAGAAATTGATGGATGGTCAGCAATGTTTTCGTGTAATAACTTGGAGAATAAACCAATCAATGCTTTTCAAATTTAAAAATGTTGTTACTGATGACAGGATGGGTTTTGACAATTTTCAATTCAGTTGCTGAGGAGTTATGTCTCTTGGTTGCTTTTACAATGATATTTATAAATGACATATTGACAGCCTCGTATAGCTTTGATATTGATATAAAAATTCGGTAAATACTAGAATGTTTATAATGATATTTATGACCAGATTTTAAAACATATATTTATCAATATTTATATATATACTTATATTTCTTTCGTCTGGGCTTGTATTATATTTGCCTTCGGGTTTATATAATCCGTTCATCCTATTTCGGCTCTTCAAAATTCAAGAGTCAATCCTAAATTGAGGTAAATTTTATCGCCTTCCAAATACCGTTCCGATTCCTAACATCACTGAGGAGACATCAATTGAGGAAATCCGGATATGGTGTACCAAGTTTTCTGTTTGATATTAAATTAATAATTAAGATCCATTTTGTTACATCTGGTGATCCGTTCATTTGGCAATCGCCATGGCCGTCAGCAGGGTTTTAGAACATCCGTTGTTCGACCTGCTAGTCAAATGCGTTTTGTTAAAATATACCTTTTCACTTTTTTGGTCTTTTGGAAAATGTTGTTTGTGCTGTATTTAGACTCCTTTACCAAGAAATTTGTTTTGCATGCACAAACATGTTCCACCTATATTGACCAGTTCTGTTGGCTTCATACATACCGACGGAAATCAAATATTAAAACTAGACACAAGGGATGTGCATGTAAAAGCCGAGTTGCGATCTTCAAGGAAGTGTAGTAGAAGAAACAGTTTTTTCTGACCGTTTTGTTTATGGACATAAGAAATAAAATAAAAATAATTCCGTAAATTTTATTAAACGATCATATTTGATTAAAAAGTGTGGTCTTTTGATATGAAATAGATACATACTAACTCAGAAATCACTTAAAGGTCTAAGTTTTCATTTTCAAGCTACGTTTGACAAAATCTAAACAAATAGTTGACATGATTTCATCCCAAAACCAATATTCTTCCAACAATTAAGTGTGCCAACTTTTTTATGACCTGATGAGCTCAACATCGATGTGGGTTTTAATCCTTGGATAGTATCTGAATAAATGTGATACATGTACAGTTTATGGCTCAAATAGCCGTTAGGGAACATGAATGTAAACTTTTGGATGACGAAGTTTGACCTACTATGTAGCAACTTGGCTAATACTCAAGCCAAATCTAATTTTTAAAAAGAGGGATCAATATACTCAGTTTTCAAGTTAATGACTGAAATCATTTGAAAAATTAATCTTTTCCCGATATCTAACAGTTTAACGTCATACAAAAATAAATGTGTCATGTTAAAAAAAAAAAAAAAATTTCGACTGATTTTAATCGTCACATTGAAAATGAATGCATGGACCCCTCTTTTAAAATTAACATCTGGCTGGATTATGTATAACAATTATTTGTACCAATTTCTATGAACAAATTACTCATCATTTTTTTTTAATCAGGTAAATATACACCAAAAGATGCAAGTTTTTTCTTCTTTCTAAAATGATGAAAATTGATAAAAATGAATTATTTCCAAAACAGTGTTGCACAAATTCAGAGTGTACTTACATTTGTATGTAAAGACGATATCCAAATACTTTTACTAAAATCGGCTTATGTTTATATTTTGAAACAAAAAAGTGAGGAATGCCTGTCCAAAGGATAGAAATTTCCAAGAAATCAAAATTTTTAGTAACTTTTCACCCCATATATCTCTAAAAGAAGCGCATGACATATTTGAATTGACTAGTTGAAAAATAGCCTAATGCAAATTTTTGTCAAAAAGTCACTGTGGGATCAAAACTGTATCGTCTGCTCTTAAATAAGAAATATTACCTATAGGAATTATATTTCGAATACTTTCGATAAGTTTGACTTATAAACGTTATGTTACCCATTTCAATGCATTTTATGTCCAGTACTTTCGTTAAGTTTAAATAATTTAAGTTATGTTCTTTTATGGTTGTGGCCTTTAATCTATTTCTCGCATAGAGAGATATTTCCCGTATCACACTGCAATGAGTTTGATTGGCTTATAAAGCAATATTGGACGATATTGCGACATTTTCATTGTCTATTCGATAGGTTATTGATGACATTCAAAGGTTAAGACGACACAAATTCGTCCATGGAAACGGGGATATGTGATATTTTAAATTATAATAGAAATAATTGACTCACACAAGACTCGTTTAATATTATATTGAAATTACATAAAACGAGTTGATATCAAGCAATATTTCATTCTCACTCGTTAATAAACCTGTAATTACCCATTTCAAGGCATTACATGTCCAAAATTTGTATCACCTTATAACAGAACCAAACTTGCTATATTGACTTCTGCATTACTTAATTTCATTCTATAATCTATTTCAAGCAATAAAAAACAAATTATGCTGTAGTCCAAACACTATTTTACTGTTTTAAGTCCAAATTGGACTGGTAGTAACATGTGGGTTACGCAAAGAAAACTGCATATATGGATATTACCAATGGCAAAAATGATTTTTTTTTATTTTCAATATCATGGTTCTAATTTGTTGATTTCTACTAGTAAAACAATGGTCTTATCAATAGTCATATTTTTATCAGAGATTGTTCATTTAATAAAAAATATATTTGTCCAAACCTAAGACATAATTGAGAATATTGTCCCCCCTTTTTTATTCTAATTGGAAAAGGGACATTTTTTATATAAACCCTACTTCTGTGGTACACCATAGATTATTAAGAGCAATTTATATATCCCTCAGCTGGATAACTTGCTAAACTGGTCCAAAATTGCATATAAAGTGAGATTTTGGAATTCTTATATGAGTATATACCAATTGCGTAAATTGTTAAAGGGTACCTTAAGAAAACCCATAAAACTGGAAAAATCATAGGATTATTTGACCAAGAGCTATTTTTTTAACAATAAAATAAACAAGTAATATGTACATGATTCATTGATTTCAATTCAAAATACTGCAAAAATAAGAAATTCAGGCCAGTTGTATGACCAACAAAGGCTAAAATACCTTATTGTGGCAATTTGAGAGCTGAAATTTCCCATAAACAGAATTGTTCATCCAAAAACGTTGATTAAACATGATTACTGACATCAAATATGACTAATTTTCATTGGAATAGGTACAACGTCTATAAACTGAATTTCTGATGATTCTCTGTAAAAGGAAGTACACCACTAATTCATGGCTCCATTACTTTCTATATTAAATTCCTTAATTTCGAGCAGGCACAGCTCTTTTGTCTTAAGTTCAAATAAAGTGACAATCATTGCATGTCAAAGCAACACCTTATCGTGTCTTGTACTGAAAAAATCATCATACCTTTAATAGCATATAAGAGAAAACTGGTTCCCGGAACTTCGGATTTACCAAAACATGTACTTCGGATCTGACAAACAGGAAAATTGTACCCTCCTTTTTAAATTTCATGCAATTTTTTTATTCAAAAAGTGTTCTACAATGATCACCAGTCATTCAGCTTTCATTGATACCAAAATTACCAAAATATTTTACATATTTTGAAAGTTACACCCATGCGTAGGAACAATTTTGTGTTAAATATGTACTACTTTCTGGTATGTTCTTTGTATCGCCCATTAAGTTTCATTCTTCCTCCTTGTGATGTTTGTAAAGCCCCTTGACTTTTTTCCTCCTCCCCAACTGTAAGTATCTACATGTATATTCTTCTTTAAAAACGTTTTGTATCGTACCTTGGTTTCTATTCCGCCTTCTCTATTATGTATTACCCCTTGCTTTATTTTTACTTCTCCTTGTGATTTTTGTATTTCCCCCATATGGATAGTTCTTCATCACTCGTATAAGTTTTATTGTCCCTTGGTTTTTATCCTCCTCTATCCCTATGTTTAATTGACCAATTGAGTTATTTTTTCATTGCCCTTCCTTTCTTACCCGCTCTCTCCTTATTATATGTTATTGTCCTTGAAGTGTCTTTTCTCCACCATTTTGATTTTTGCAATGCCTCCCTTGTTCTTTCTTCCTTCTCTCATATCATTTGTATTGCTCACTTGGTTTTTATTTTTCTCCCTAATTATGTTTTATTACCCAAACTTTGTTTCCAATTCATTCTTTATAATGTTTTCGTTCTTGGTTTTGTTTCCTCCTACCTTCTCATGATTTTGTATTGCATCCTTGGTTCTTTACTTTTTATTCCTTTTATATTTCCCTCTTGTGTTATTGTCTCCTCCCTCCTAAGATATGTTTATTACCGTTTTATTATTGTCGCCCTCTTTCCTCCCCGCTGCTTATATTGTTTTTAGCCCCTTTGGTTTCTTACACCCTCCGTACTTATATTTCATTGCCTCTTTTGCTTCTTTCTTTCTTTCTCCATTTTATGTTTAAAATGTCTCCCTTCTTTTCTCTCTCCTTCTCTACTCTGTTTTTACTATCCTCTTGGTTTATTGCCTTTATTAATGCCTCCCGTTGTTTCTCCCTTCCTCCCTCCTTATAATTTGTAATGCACACTTAGTTTTTATTCTCCCCCTTCCTTCCTTTTAATTGTATCGGCCTTGGGTTTTTTTAATACCTGCCTCCTTATGTTTTTGAAAAACCCCTCTTGGTTGTTTTCCCTTCTCTGTTATGGTGTTATCTATTGCTCACTTGGTTTCCTTCTACCTCTCTCATTACGTTTTTTATTGCCACTTTGGTTCCTCTCCTCTTTTATTATGATATTTACATTGCCCTCTTCCTTCCTATTCTCCCCAAATAATTTTACCACCCTCTTTGTTTTATATATTCCGTCCTTATGTTTGTTTATTGGCCCCTTTGGTTTCTGTTCTCCTTCCCTCTTGTAATGTTTATGTTTTCCCCTTAATTTCTGTCCTCCTGTGTATTATCATTTGTATTGTCCACTCGCTTTGTTTCATCCTCAATCCTCACGTGTACGTTTGTTACTGCCTCCTTGGTTTCTTTCCCCCTCTATTCGTATATTTTAATTTTCCCATTCTTTCGACCTCCTTCTTTATTCTTTACTACCTTCTTGTTTATCCTTCTTCCATCCTCCTTATGCCTGTATATTGCCACTTTGATTTTTCTCCTCTCCCGTCTGATGTTTTTCTATTGCCTCCTTGGTATTTTCATCCTCCCTCCTTATGTTTTGTTATTTTCTCCCGCTTCCCTCCTCCCTCCTTATGTTTTGTAAAGCCCCCTTGGTTTATTTCTTCCACCCTCTATATGGATTTTTATTCTCACCTTAGTTTTCCTCTTCTCTCCTCTTTGTAAAATAATTGTGCCCTTTATTTTCTAACTTTCCGCCTGATGTTTTTCATTGCCCTTTGGCTTCTTTTCTCCTCCCAGCTTATGTTTTTAGTTGTCTTCCTGTGTTGTTTCCTCCCCTTCCTAGTATTTGTTTATTAATCACTTCGTATCCGTCTTCCGTCCACTTGTGATTTGTAAATGTCTCTTTCTTTCCTTCTCCTTCATATGTTGTATTGCACTTTTTGTTCATTTCTTCCTCCATTCTCGTTTGTTTTTGTTTCCCTTTGGCTTCATTCATCCTCCTTTTAAAGTGTTTTTCTCTTCCTGGTTTTCTCTTCACCTCCCTCCTTATGCTTTTGTTTCCTCCTCCATCCTTATGTCTTTATTTGTCCTATTTTGTTTCATCGTTCCACCTTACGTAAGCTTTTTTTCATTGCCCCTTAGTTTCATTTGTCCTCCCTCTTTAAGTAATTATTGCCACCTTGGTTTCTTGACTCCTCCTTTATTATTCTCAGCTGATTCTCAATGATTATAGAATTTATTTTCTTTTGATTTTGAGCTTGAGCTTGAAGTTAAAAAGGTAAAACATGCTACACAGAGGAACAAGAGGGACGAAAGATACCAGAGGGACAGTCAAACTCATAGATCGAAAACAAACTGACACGCCATGGCCAAAAATAAAAAGACAAACAGACAAATAATAGTACAGATGACACAACATAGAAAACTAAAGACTAAGCAACACGAACCCCACCAAAAACTTGGGGTGATCTCAGGTGCTCCGGAAGGGTAAGCAGATCCTGCTCCACATGTGGCACCCGTCGTGTTGCTTATGTTATTACAAATCCGGTAAAAAGTCTAATTCGGTAAGTCACATTCGTGAAAAGGGAAGGGTATTGTAGTTACGACATAAGGAACATATCCGATATCATCTGTGAAACGGTTATTCCATAACGGTCAACCAACTCGTGATGGCGTCCGTAAAATTTACGAAGGGATGATTTCAACTTCACCATTTGGAACTCTTGGCTTAATAGCTTCCTTGTGAGCAGCAATCCTCTATCAAGGAAATCATGATAGGAAACACAAGCCCGGGAAAATCGTATCAATTGGGAGATATATACTCCGTAACAAGTGATCAGTATGCTGGAGTTTCTTATTGACAACATATTTGTTGAATTTGGAGATAGACTTGTCCTATGGGAACGAACTGTGCGCCTCTCCTTGCCGACCTCTTCTTATTTTCATAGGAGTCGGAGTTCCTTCAGACACTTGTCAAAAACAAGACGATCAAAGAAGCCAGGTCATTTAATTTCACATTCAGAAATATTGATGATGTTCTTTCTATTAACAATCCAAACTTTTCTGATTGGGTTCCATTAATATATCCCCCCAGAACTAGAAATTAAAGAAACAACAGACACGGATTCCTCCAACTCAATTTTAGACTTATACCTCGAATTTGACATACACGGTCATCTCAGTACCACAATCTATGACAAACGAGACGATTTAATTTTGAAATTGTCAATTTCCCCCACCTTAGTAGCAATATACCAACTTCACCTGCATATGGCATATACATTTCGCAGCTTGTTCGGTATTCAAGCTGCTACTCAGACTTTGTAAAACGTCACCAGTGTCTTAGCAGAATGTTGATGAACCAGGGGTATGACAAAGAACGTCTCGTCCTTTTTCTAAAAAAGTTCATCGGAAGGTACCAAGACCTTGTTGATAAATATTCCGTATCAACTTCACAACTAATACACGAGGTCTTGAAGTAAAGATTCTTAGTACTGACGTTGTTTATCATCTTAATAACGTTTTATAGAATTCTTTTATTTGTCTTTTTTAATACATTTTTACTGATAGTCTATTTTTGGTGATATCAATTTGACGTGGCTCGGTACTTATACATCCCGTCATTGTGTTCTTGTGCGATGGTAAATTGTTGTATTCTTGTCTTTCATTTTTGCTTATGTGCTTTGTCTATATGCCTTTTTGTGTTTCTTTGTTAAATATTTGTTTTTATAGTGATTAAGATTATAACACAATGTTGACTGTTGTACCCCTATTTCGACATTTTTACCTCTTATGTCTGTTTGTTTTGTTCACACATCGTTGTCAATATAATGGAATTTTATGCGACTGTCATACAAGTGAGAGGTTTAGCTAACTATAAAACCAGGTTAAATCCACCATTTTTTACATAAGAAAATGCCTGTACCAAGTCAGGAATATGACAGCTGTTATCCATTCTTTTGATGTGTTTGAGCTTTTGATTTTGCCATTTGATTAGGGACTTTCCGTTTTGAATCTTCCTCGGGGTTCGGTATGTTTGTGACTTTACTTTTTACTAGTACAACACAATATTCTATGAGAGTAAAGTCACACTGTATAAGACCAAGTCTTAACAATCCTCGACCTATTCTTTATCTATATCTTTTATTCCTTCTATCTAAAGTCTTTTTTTTTTTTCACTCGGCTAAAAATTTGAACAAAAACTTATTTGTCCAATAAAACAATCGAACATAAATGTAAAAATAATTAAGTCGTTAATAAAAGGAAAACATTATACTTATACACTCAAGATTGATAAAGTAGACGTTTATTTATCGAGTAAGGTTCATACTTTTGTCGAGTAGGGTTCAGACTTTGGTCGAGTATGGTTCAGACTTTGGTTAAGTATGGCTCAGTCTTTTAACCTTTGGTCGAGTATTAAGACATTGAAAGCAGATCGTGAACTGGTTATTTACAGGACGAGAATGGTTTAAGATTGTTTGAGCTTGGTCAGAGTTCAGACTTTTCAGTATGGCCAAGATAAAGGTCCAGTACAAATCAGAACAGTCAAGTATGGTTAAGATTGGTGTCTAGTAACATTAAGTAAATTTCAAACCCATTCAGAATGGTCGAGTAAAAACCAGTCGAGTCCAGTACAAATACTGTTCATTTCAGATTTTTACTGGTTTGTAGAGATATGTTTTGTAGAAATATTGATATGAATTCTGCAATGTTCTGGTTTAACTATAACTTACAAGTACAAAACAATATGCTGTGAGAGTAAAGTTACACTATATAAGTTTGTTTCAAAAATAAAAAAAAAATATCAAATTGAATTAACTAAGTTTTGATGTTTTTACCTCATCCAAAGTTTGTCCATCTATAGATTCCACATCCGAAGTTTCCTCATCTGAAGTTTCCTCATCCATGTCCTGCGAAAATAGAACATTTATTTAAATATTGTCATAAACTGGTACTAAAGATTTTTAAACATTGTTGTTTCTCAGAACTGAACACATAGTTTTATCTGGTCTACAAAAGATTTCTTCGGAGAAAAAACGAATCATGTCAGGAGTTTAGAGCCAAATGAGCCATATGTACATTAGAAACTAATGGTTCCATAACTATTGGTTCTGATGGGAACCATCTCAAAATGCTATGTTGCTTGCAATTAAGTCTGTTGTGATGTATTGTTTTTTAAGTAAACGGGATAATTCCATTAAAACATTTTTTTTTCAAAGATGTCCCACTAAAATTAGTAATATTTAACTTTGCTATAAATGTCTCAATGTTTAAACATTGAAATATCCACTAGTACAGAGCGGAGACATGACTATAAATGTATTGTGATGTAAAGAACACATTAAATATATTTCAACTACATGTAACTTGTTGGTCCATGAATTCCGAAATACAGGTTACCTCTATGTACTCAACACCTTTCAGAAGGGATGGACACTCAAATCTAGGAGTTTTCAATTAAAGAGAGGGGACACCATTAATGTATAAAATCACGGGAGGGGGTATCTCTACACACGTCATTAGAATTAACGTCCTAATTTGACCGGATGTGACTGCGAATTTGTGCATCACGCTCATCAAAACGAAAGCCAAAATCTGGCAAGGATAATACTGACGGTCGGAAGAAGACCAAGAGATGACCATATTTTTAGTCAATCTTTGAAGTTCTGTATATTTCTAAGTGCGTTGGATATGAACACTTTTGCAGTTAAGTCTTGCATTCTCGTTATTTGAAATGACATGTGTTTAAGACAAATCTTTGATTGTTTCTGTTTAATTCATTTACTATTTCTATGGACTCGAAACAATCCAAATAACTGAATAGACAGCTGCCTTTTGTTTAATACTGTATATTTCCGTCCATATGGTTGTTGTTTTTGTCATGTTTGCTGTCTCGTTGAAATCTTGCACAACTATCCCTTTATTCCAACAAATGTGTTAAGCTTCAAGTAGATCTATCAAAGCATTTGCCAAAAAACTTAACAAAAATACGAAGTTTATAATTTGGTACACCATATTCGCGTTTTGTCTTCATATACTTGAATAAAAACAGTCAAATACGATGTGGAAGAACATTTTAAAAAAAAATCCATTAAATTAAGTAAAATAAGTCTAAGGCAATCTATACCTAAGAATAGAAAAACCTTATTGTTACGAATAATTCTACATTTTATAAACTGTTAATTTATAGAAAAATGAACATATCAATGATGTTTCATGTCAACACAAAAGTGTCGTGTGATACACTCGTCCGGCAAGGCCATGTACAACTAGTGTAAAATAAACTTAAATCTGAAAGTAAAAGTACCGCAACTTTGGAATGACAAACCAGAAAATAATCAAAACCAAAAAAGGAGTTGCCTGTAATTAATTCCACCAACAGCGTCAAGTTTTGGGTAAATTAATCTAAGCATACTTTAGTAAATTCGCAATGAAAAAACATGCCTTAAATCTGACAGTGAAAATCCCGATACTCGGGGAAAAGTATTAATAAAAATACCGAACTTAAATTCAAAAACGAGGAAGTTTATAAAACCTTAGAAAATCAAACGTTCGACTTTTTCAACCAACAGAACAAATGGGAAACAACTGTTATATTCCTGACTTTGTACGACACATATAAATAATTCAAAAACAAAAGAGAGTTTTCTTTTATCAATCCCAGCATTATTTATTATAAAGTAAATTGATCAATGCACGAGTGAGTACTTTTTTTATGTTACAGCTGTTACAGAACTAATGACATACTAGATGGGTTTCAGTATTGTTATGCTTTATTTGCAGCATTGATAACCTGGCTAAATGGGTTTCAGTATTGTTATGTTTTATTTGCAGCATTGATTTCCAGGCTAGATGGGTTTCAGTAGTTTAATGTTTTTAGATGGGGTTAAGTATTTTCATGTTTTATTTGCCGCACTGATTACTATGCACGTAATAGTCACCAGGCTGGCTTGAGTCCAGTATTTTAACATTTTATTTGTATCATTGATGAATAAGCTATATTGGGTCCATTAGTTTTTTAATGTTTGGTTTACAACACTGATGACCAGACTAGATGAGGTTCAGTATTTTTCTGTTTTATTTATAGTACTAATGGAAAGATTAAATGGGGTTAAGTATATACAACAGAAATGACCAAGGTAGATTTTGTATTTTTATTTTTTTTAACAGCACTAACGACAAGGCTAGATGGGGTCCAGCATTATTATGTTTTGTTTTCAGCAAATATAACCACGCTAGATAGGGGCCAGTATTTTTTGTATTTCTGTTACAGCAATAATCATAAAGCTAGATGGTGATAAATATCTTTATCTTTTATTTAATGGATCAAAGCTAGATGGCTTCCAGTATTTTTCATTTTAAGTATCAGCACATATGTTATTATGCTAGATGGGGTCCAGTTATTTGATGTTATATTTACATCACTGATGACCAGGGTTGATGGGGTTCAGTTTTGCAATCTTTTATTTTCAACACTAATGACAACGCTGAATGCGTTCATTATTTTACTGTTTTATTAACAGCACCGATGACCAGGGTAGATAGGGCCGGTATTTTAATATATTATTTACAGTCATTACGACTAGTTTAGATTAGGTGCATCTTTTTTTTATGTTTTATTTACAGAACTGACAATTTCTATATACAAAAACCATTAACAAAAATGTCGAACTCCAAAGTAAAATTTTAAAAAGGTTTCATTTACAGAACTGATGACAAGGCTAGATGGAGTCCAGTATGTTTATGTTTCATTTACAGGACTAATGACAAGGGTTGATGGAGTATAGTTTATTAATATTAATTTACAGGACTGATGACAAGGCTAGATGGAGTCCAGTATTTTTATGTTTCATTTACAGGACTAATGACAAGGGTAGATGGAGCACAGTTTGTTAATATTCATTTACAGGATCGATGACAAGGCTATATGGGGTCCAGTATTTTTATGTTTCATTCACAGCTAAGATGACCAGGCTAGAGGAGGTTCCGTTTTTTATGCTTTATTTACAGCACTAATGACAAGGCAAGATGAGGTTTAGTATTTTAATGTTTTATTTGCAGCACTGATGACCAGGCTAGATGGGGTTCAGTATCTACATGTTTTATTACAGCACTGATGACCAGACTAGATTGGATTCAGTATTTCTATGTTTCAGTTGCAACACTTATGACCAAACTAGATTGGGTAAGTATTTGTATGTTGTTGTTTTTTTTTTTGCAGCACGGCTGACTACTAGTATTCAAGCAACAGTGACCAAACTGGATTGAGTCCAGCATTTTAACATTTTATTTGTATCACTGATGACTAAGCTAGATTGGGTCCATTATCTTTATGTTTTTAATTGCATCACCAAAGACTAGGGTAGATGGAGTTCAGTATATTTTTGCATTATATACAATAGAAATGACCAAGGTAGATTTGGTACAGTATTTTTATGTTTTATTGACAAGGCTAGATGGGGTCCAGCATTATTATGTTTTGTTTTCAAAAAAACATGTGAAGGCTAGATAGGGTCATGTACTTTTTTTTTTTATTTCTTTTCCATCAATAATCACCTAGCTAGATTGAGTTCAATATCTTTTTCTTTTATTTAATGGATCGATGACTAGATGGCTTCCAGTATTTTCCTTTTAAGTTACAGAACAGATGTTACAGTTCTAAATGGGGTCCAGTTATTTTAGGTTATATTTACAACATTGATGACAAGGGTAGATGGTGGTTTATTATTATCATCTTGTATCTACAACACTAAAAACAAAGCTGGATAGGGCCAGTCTTTAACAGTTTTATTTACAGTCATTATGACTAGTTTATAGTGGGTGCAGTTTGTTTATGTTTTATATACAGAACTGACAATTTCTATATAAAAAAGCATTAACAAAAAACGCCAAGGTAAAATTTTAAAAAGGTGGAAGTCCATATAAACTGACAAAATAAAACGTTAAACTATATCAATCAACTGAACGAATGGAAAACAACTGTAATATATCCTGACTCGATATAGGCATGTTTCGAAGAAAATGGTGGGTTGAATATGGTTTTATACCTATCAAAACATATATATTACAGTTGTTTATAGTTGTATTGACGAAATTGGGTGAGCACCCCAAACAGTCTTTATTGGTTATTTGACAATAATAAGGATCCAGAAGCCATAACCATGTAAAAATACATCACAGAGATACTGCACAACTGACTCAAGAATTCAAACAAACACTCAAATAAAAGCCGACAAATAAATTAGTGTAGTTGATAGTAAATCTGACAAGGACGCCAACAAAAAGTGTTTTATAGTTGATAGCACATATGTTATATCATTGAAATATGATGAGGAATTAGTTTTGTATGTGTTAATTAAAACACTGAACACCAGGCTACATTGTAGATGAGTCCCTTTATTGTATTTTAAATGTTCAATACTGAAGGTCCGGCTTGATGGGTTCCAGTCTTTTTATGTCTTATTGACAGTACTCATGAACAGACAAATAAAGGTACATTGTTTTATAATTGTTTGAAACACTGACGATTTGTCTAGAAGGAGTTCAGATTTTTATGTTTCATTTACATGACTGATGACAAGTCTAGATGGAGGACAATATGTTTATGTTTCATTTACATGACTAATGATAAGGCTATATGTAGTACAGTATGTTTATGTTTCATTTACAGGACTGATGACAAGGCTAGATGGAGAACAGTATGTTTATGTTTCATTTACAGGACTGGTGACAAGGGTAGATTGAGTGCAGTATCTTTATGCTTCATTTACAGGACTGATGACAAGGGAAGATGGAGTACAGTATGTTTATGTTTCATTTACATTATTGATATCAAGGCTAAATGGAGTTCAGTATCTTTATGTTTCATTTACAGTACTGTTGACAAGGGAAGATGGATTACAGTACGTTT